AGTCCTGCCCCCACAGTTTCTAATCCTTCCAGGAGCTTCCTAGAAGTCTCATCCACACACTGGCCAGGTACAGTCATGGAATCTTTGCTGTGAGAGGCGCTTGATCACTTCTGAGCAGATACGTTCTGAATTAAGCCTTCTTTCCCCATGACCTCACACAATTCTCACAGCCTCCCTCCCCATGAGGCTAGTCTGTGTTACCACCCCTGTTACCTAGAGGGGAGAAGTTGGCTTAGGGAAAGGCCCTTGTCAGAGGGGCTCACACCCCCTGCAGGGGACAGAGCCAAGATTCTGGACATGTCTGTCAGATGCAAGCAAACCATGGACTAGCCATCCCACCTCCTGGACACAGCTATCAAAGGGACTCTGCTTAAGCAAAAGATTTGCGGCTCACTGTTGCCTGGAGTCGAGTCTCAGCTGACCTTGTGGTTTCGAGGCAAAGGCCTCAGTTTCTCCACATGTTGACTTTCTCACAGGCCCTTCAGCCCCCGGGCTGAACGAGAGCGCACGGGCCTTCTCACAGAGCCTTGAACGTGGGTTTTTTTTTTTTTCCTTATTTGCTGTGTAAATATTAAGAGGCTTTGTCTGAGTGCCAGGGCTTCACCATCTCTTGAAAAACAGGAGCCCTTGCTTCAGTGTCATAGATCTGCATGTCAGCTTGCCTCGGTTGCCTGAGGTTGTACTGCCTCTCCCAGCTGCTGCTGTCCTCAGCCCAGGCTGGCAATCAGACATCACTTCTTCTGGGGTCTTGTGTTCCCAACAGCTGTGGGCACATTTTTTTTCTTTCACATAGGTGTCTGATCAGAACTGGGAACAACTTGGCCACCAGGAGGGCGCAATAGGAGACAGTGTGGGAGGAGCTCCAGTCCCGGTGAAAGAGAGACCTGTGGGGCTACCACATGTTAAGTTTATGTATTCCCAAACAAATCTAGTCAAAAGCACCCCCCAGCTCCTCCTGCTGCCTCAGCGGGCCCTGGAGGAGCACTGCTTACTGGCTTGTCCTTATGGCTTACTCAGCCTGCTTTTTTAAAGCAGCCAGGACCACCAGCCCACAGACCGTACCACCCACAGGGGGCTGGGCCCTCCCACAGCCATCGCCAGTCAGGAAGACGCACCACAGTTTTTCCCACAGGCCAGTCTGGTGGGGGTACACCACATCTCAACCGATGTTCCCTCTTCCGAAATGACTTAATCTTGCATCAGGTTGACATAAAACTAGCCAGCACAGCACCTCACCCACTCTGCATAGATTTAGTAAGTATGTAGTTCCGTCACAGACACTCCCTGTGAGCACTGCACACACAGCACTCTCCCAGTTCATTGACCCTGCCCTTTGGAAGGGGCTCATAAAATCCCACCCGTCCCTGATGATTCCTAGGCAATTATCAGTTATTAGCGAAACAGGGGCTCACCATGCCTCACCCCCCTCTTGGGGGCCACTGGCCATTAGGGGTTGCTGGGGAAGGAGGAGACATTTTCTTCAGTGGTGTGGCCACTGGCAAGGTGCCCACGTTCCTGTAAATAGCCTGTCCCCCACGCTCTTGTATGCGATCCTAATGAAACTCATTCATTGAGTCACAAAAAGAAAGTAGAAAGAGGGGGAAGGAGGGAGAAAGATAAAAGAAGGGAATGTAAAATAGGGGAAGGGGAGAGGAGGAAAAGAGAAAGGGGAGGGGGAAGGAAGAGGGTGGGAGGAGGGAGAGAAAGAGGAAGGGGACCAACGGGGAAGGAGGGCGAGCAAAGGGGAATGGAAGGAACAGAAACAGTCTTGCTCTTTGGAAGCTTCAAGCCTTCAAGGAGATGTGAGAGAGCTATCATTTACATGTTCTTTACATGAAGCAGTCACTGTGTATAAGGTCAATCACATAGTCCTCCCGGGAGCACTATTGTTCTACCCATTTCACAGAGGAGAAACTGAGGTTCCAAAGGTCATGGAGCTTAGGATATGTGTGAAAGCCAGCCACCTGATTCTTAACAGCATGTTCCTGAGAGAAGGTGCTTTTGTGATCCCTTCCCAACACGCACACACACACCGGGAATCTGGGGTCCTCCAAGGCCGAGACCACATGGCCAGATTGCTTCACCCCTTGACACCGGACCCTTCACTCCAAATCCGAGAGCCACCTGGCTCACTGTGCTCTGAGGAGGCCAGGGCTAAGCTGGCAGGGTGCAAGGGTCCCGCTGCACCACCCATCTCCAGCAGAGCGCCTTCCTCATCACAGCAGCAGAAATCAATGCGAGGTCCATGCGGTCCTAGTGAACTGGTGGCTGAGCTCCCATGAGGGGCATGGATTGTTCCCAGCTCCAACACACCCTTCCTCTCTCACGGGGAACCCTCTTCGCTTGCTCCTGTCAGGATCATTGGAGACGTCTCCGGGCTTTCATTGTATGCTCTTTGTCACTGTGTCGGCGAGGACTCCACGGAGTAAGATTTAAGAGCCAGAAGATGGTCAACTCTGGCCATGTCTGACCTGCCTTCCAGAGAACTCTTTGGGAAGCTGCAGGCCAGAGGGACCTAGGGACTAAGAGGCTTGGCCCTGGCCTCCTCAGGGCACAGTGACAAAGGTGGCTCTCGGATTTGGAGTGAAGGGTCCAGTTTCAAGGGGCGAAGCCATCTGGTAATGTGGTTTCAGCCTCGGAGGACCCCAGATTCCCCAATGTGTGTGTGTGTGTGTGTGTGTGTGTGTGTGTGTGTGTGTGTGTGT